GTGGTGAGGCTCAGAGTTAGAAACGCCGACCAAAAAGTTGAAGCAGCCGCATCTGCAGCGCGGGGCGGGCGAGGCGGTTGTTGGGGTTCACGGGAGCGTTTTGAGGTTGAATCTAGCGCAGCCGACGAGCGGCGGAAACGCAGAAATTTGCCTGGAGGCTCCTGGCTGTGGCCACTTCCTGGGAGAGGATTATTTTTTATTCCCATTCAACTGAATGTCTTTCCGGGAGGAGCGGGTCTCACCCGCTTGGGGTCACCTCTAGAGGAGGTCAGGGGTTTGGGCGTTAGATTGTATGACAGCCGTGCCCCTCACTCCCACTCTGTATGGCTTTGGCCAAGTTACATAACTACAACCAACACCACAAGCAGCGTCCTAGTTTCTGTAAAATTACTTTGCAGAGTGGTTGTGAAAAATAAATGACTGTATGCACGCTCAACGCTTGAGCCTTCAAATAGAAATTGACATGCTCCTGTGGGATGACAGCCTTTTAGCTTGTACCCTTCTGTTTCAGCACCTAAAGCTTGACAAGATTTCTGGAGAGGGACTCGAGAGAAGGAAAATCGCCTTATGCGGTGATTGTAAGGAATTCTTGAAGCAGTCAAAGTGATTCTAAACAGATTTGCATTGAAATAACAAGGCTCTTAATAAGAAACAGTTAATAACAAAGTATATGACAAGTTATAGCAATTTTAGAAACACATAGACTTGGTAGCTGGAAATCAGATAAGTTCCTAATAAGTTCCCAAATCAGGAAACTTAATTTTAAAACTTAAGACCGTCCCTTGAGCCCTGGAAGAGTTCAAGCTTTCCATCAAATAATTATTAAACTAAAACTAAGCCCTGTATTTTGGTAACTATCGCTGAATTCTTATGTTTACTTGGGACCTAGTTCAGCACCTCCTACCATTTCCTTACTGAAATAGTTCAAGCATTATTTTACAGGAACATGAGAAAAGGTTCATTTTCTCCAAAGATCCCTGAATGACACTCAAACATGTGACTAGCTAGCTACATGGGTGATCTTGCTGAAACATTAATTTGCCAGAAATGAACCATGTTAATGACCCTTGGGTTTTTGCTTTAGACTCAGTAGGAAGACTAATGGTATGCAGCAAGAGCTCAGCAGGTACATGTGTGTATACTTGGTTAAACTGTGGCATGCATGAAAGGGGATGACCATAGTTCAGGCTGGGTGTAGACTATAGCTTTGTACTGATTCTAGACAAGATCATTTCTCATTCCTGGCAGACTTAACAAAGTCATGCTATTGTTCATGATGGAGGACTGGGCAGGAAAAGTCTACCCTCAGTGCTAATCTTTCACAACTACAGTACTAAAAATAACTCAAGTGCAAGTCCCTGGAACTCCAGTCATTGCATACTAGCGATGTTGTATAATATATGCTGTCTAATTCATGTTAAAATTTTACCATTCTGGATCAGCAGTAATTTGAAATCCTTCTCTAAATATAATTGAATACTGGCGTTTTTGTAGCTGGAAGAAAACAAGTTCTATAGAAATACACCATTTACTCAGTGGTACATGTGAACAGAATGTTGTTAAAAACTAAAGCATATTAACCTAGCTAACTAGTAAACAGGTAGAAGACATTTTTGAAATTTGTCAAATAAATGGCACCTATGAAATATTTGAGCAGCTATTGTTATTTGTTCCATTTCTTCCCCAAGTTGTTCATACCTCTCAATCCTGAAAATTACCACCCTTGCAGCATAAATGTCCTTCTCTTTGTATAGCATCTCAAATCAGACATCTAAAGCATCTATATGTGCAAAACACAGTTGTTATCTTACATTTGGGTCTTAACAAATGTCTAGATTATTAATTATAAGACAATGAAGTTTCTTCTTCCATTTTTAACTTAAACTGAATACTTACAATGTTACATTCAGAGAAGCTGGCACTTAGTTTTAAGAAATAAGAATTGCAACTGAATATGCTAATTCCCCTTTACCAACCACTGTTTTAAAAAAAATCTATAGCTAGTTTTTAATGCCTAGGAATTGGGTCTGGTGTAATGTTGAGATATTTAGATCTTGCATCTTTAAATTGTTTTAATTTAAAAGTTTTTTTATTCCCTGACTAATTTTTAGAAGACCAGTCTATCAGACACCAATTTTTTTTTTTTATTTATTTATGCATATAGAACTTGGGGTATAGGCCAGAGGTGCAGGGCAGTGCAAGGATTTGCCAGAGACAGAGTGGGGAGCAGAACAGGCAGATTGAGGAAGTACACTGCTGAGGGGAGCAGCGGGCTGTTCAGGAGAAATCTGCCATGTGGGTTACCTCCCTGGCCGGGGATTGAACTTGCACTGAGGCAGCTGTGGCCAGCTTGCAGTGCTGCGTCCCAACCCACTGTGCCACCAGGGTGCCCACCAATAGATGTTTTTAAGAAATTATTCTTGTTCTCAAAAACAGTCTTCAAATGTCAGAAAACATGCCTCCTTGAAGCATACTTCTGGGAAGTTTCATTTGCTCTGAGAGAGAAAACTTACTTTGCCCCTGAGTGCCCGCTGTTTAACTTATAAACCAAATCTGCTGGAAAGAATGTTTTGGAGGGTTACTGGTTTATGAGATATTTTAGTGGAACAGTTTCTGCAATGGCTTCATTGATGTGTGATATCTAGAAGAAATTGCAAAACAATTTCTGGGAATTGTAGATGCTCTTTCTTTAATAGAAAACGACAGGCTTATTTTTAGAAAATACAGTGTGGTTATCTTCTATCATATGTTCAGTTTTTCTCCTTTTTAGTTTCTTTCACATATTAGGTCATTTTGCTTAGATCTTTTATGTCCAACACAAGGGAGTAACTATAAGGAAAAATTCAATTAATTTCTCAAACAGAAGTTACTTTTACTTGCTATGTGATATGCTTACTATTAGCACTCTTTTCTGTAGGAATGTCCAAAGAATGCATTTCCTTGAATAGAATTCGCAGCTGTGTAAATAGCAAAGGGCAACTTTTTACTCCATAATTTTTGACCAAATTTGGCCAGTAGGCCAAAACTAGATAAAACTAGAAACATTTTCCAGTTGGGCATCATGAGGCATGTGAAAGACCATTGTTTTGGCCATCATATCTTTTCTCGGCTTCTTGTCAAAAGCCGAGCCCTGTTTTTTTAGCATCGTAGCTGAGTGTTTAGGTCTCTGCTTTAAAATGTTCAGTTGCTTTTGTTTGGATGTTAGTTACAGTTTGGAAATTGTGCTGTGACATCTCAATCTATATCCTTTTTCGTAGTATGATTTTTTTTTTAATTCCAAGGTTGAACCTTTATAAAAAGGAGCTATAATGTTTCAAAGTTGAAAGTGTGTTTGGGCTTCCCTGATGGTACAGAGGATTAAGTCTCAGCACTATGAAGCAGTCTGGAGTTGGAACCCCAGCCAGGAAGCCACCCACATGGTTCAACAGACCTCTCCTGGATTGCCTGCTGTTCCCCTCAGCTGTGTATTTCAGTCAATCCATCTGTTCTGCTCCCCATCTGTCTCTAGTAAATCTTGTCCCATCCCACCCTCACCCCCCACCTCTGCCCTACACCCTGGCTCTTGAATGCATAAATAAATAAACCTTTACAAAAAAGAAAAGAAGTATGTTACATTCCTTCCTTATCCAAGAGTTGGCACATTTAAAGGGCTAGATTTTAAATATGGTAGGTTTTGAGGTCAAAGGCAAAAATCAAGGATATGTAGGTAGTTTCAGCCAACTAGAATGTATCCAGTTAGAAATATAAAATCATTCCTGGCTCTCAGGCCATAGGAAAACAGGCAGCAGGATGCAGTGTGTTTGCCAGCCCTTGTCTACGTGGGCATACCATCATTAACTAAACCCTATTTTTTTTCTCTCTTTCAGCCTGGATGTTACAGGGTGATGGGTGACGATAGCTCTATCGATTACAGTGTTCATGAGGCCTGGAACGAAGCCACCAATGTTTACTTGGTAGTGATCCTTGTTAGCTTTGGTCTCTTCATGTATGCCAAAAGGTAAAGTTTTTTTTTTTTGTTTTTTTTTTTTAACCTCAGCCTTTATATGTAGCTGGGCATTTAAACATTTTGCAGGTTTGTTTTATATTTCTGAATCATTGGATGCACAAAATTTCTCTCGCATTAATTTCATCACCATTTTGTTTGTGCTATGAAAACACTGACTATTCTGATCTCTAACATTGAACGCCAAGGGTTGACTTTGAAAGCCACATTGTTTTAACAGTTTAAGATTTAAGTGTAATGCTTGACACCAGAACCAGCTGTTTTAAATTCCCTCTATCATTAATTTTATCATCCATCCTTGGATAACTGTCACTTTTGGATGAGCACATTTAGACCCTGAAATGCAGAAAAACCAACTCCCGTGTGTTCAGCCATTGTCTCTGCACATTTTAAATATTTTCCTTCTGTAACTGGTGCATGACTATTACAGCACTTACTGAACTATGTTGATGTATTCTGGTTACTTATCTGTCTGTTCCACAAAAGCTTCAGTCTTGCAAGCACAAGAACCTTTAAAATCTTTGTGTTCCTGCCATGCCACATAGTGTAAATCTTCAGTGAATACTAACTGCCTTATTTCTAGATGTAGTGTAATTTTTTTTTTTAAAGATTTCTTTATTTGTGGGCCCTCCCTGATGGCGCCGGTTAAAGCACAGCACTGAGAAGCTTGAGTCACTTCCGCATGAGTTCGATTCCCGCCTGCCCGGGAGAAGATCCACATGGCACGCAGACCTCTCCTGTCCTGCCCGCTGCTCCCCTCAGCAGTGTACTTCGTCGAGCTGCCTGTTTTGCTCCCGCTCTGTCTCTGTTGAATTCTCTCACCCTCCGCATCTCTGGCCTGTACCCCAGTTCTATATGAATAAATAAATAAATCTTTAAAAAAATGATTTATTTGTGCATACAGAACTGGGGTACAGGCCAGAGGCTCAGGGGCGGCAAGAGGTGTCACCAGAGACAAAGTGGGGAGCAGAACAGGCAGATCGACGAAGTACACTGCTGAGGGGAGCAACAGGCGGGTCAGGAGAGGTCTGCCATGCCATGTGGTCCCCTCTGGGGCAGGCGGGAATCAAACTCATGCGGAAGTGGCTTTAGCTTCTTAGTGCTGTGCTTTAATTCCTGCGCTACCAGGGAGGGCCGATGTAGTGTTATTTTAACTGTCCTCTTCCATACTCCCTGCTTCCTTTCCCTAAAGTACTACTTTAAAGGGGAGAAAGGATATTGGACTGAGTTGCCTCTGTTTATAACCACATGGTTCAAGGTGCCCTCTAGCCGGGGGAAAAGGGCATTAAATAGTTCAGAATAATCAGTAATCTAAAAATAATTGATGTTTGGCCTGGAGAAGAGTTCAGAGCCCACACTTGCTCTTAGATATTCAGACTTGCCATTCCCAGTCATGTGTCTCCTGAAGCAGCTGCCTCTTTGCTGCTTGGGCTCTAGTGGTGGTGAGAGTGGAATCCATATATCAGTGCTGGCCCATGTGTAGGTAACAGCTTTCCTCTAAAAATAGCCACTCCTTCCCACCCCACTTTTTATGACCTTGTCCTTAGTTTTAAGGACAAGTGGTCCCACAAGAGCTGTGTTATTGTATTTAAGAAATATGTTTATTCTTTCTTTCCAAAATTAAGATGTGTTCACATTCTGTTTATTCTCAAGCCCAGTAACTTAACTATGTTTGGATGACGTGAGAGGAGAGAAAACAAGTCAGAGGTTTTCTTATTTCTGCATTTTTCCACACAGTATTTGACTTGGTAGCAGGGCACTGGAGTAGGAGTAAGTGGAGGCACGTCACTTGGATGTATTAAGTGCATATGCTCAGCTCCTCTGTACATGTAGTCCTGTGCACACATACTGCTTATATTTAGTAAAAGGAAGAGTACTTGAAAGGAAGCATCTCACAGAGCCAAAAGAGAACATGGAATCATAATCATTAAATCCTTTTAATGGGCCCTTCCTGGTGGTGCAAAGGGTTAGGACGCAGCACTGCAAGCTAGCCGCAGCCTCTTCAGTGCGAGTTCGATCCCCAGCCCTGGAGGTGACCCACATGGTGCAGCAGACCTCTCCTGACCCGCCCACTGCTCCCCGTAGCAGTGTACTTCATCAGTTGGTCTGTTCTGCTCCCCACTCTGTCTCTGGTGAATCCTCTCACCACCCCTGAACCTCTGGCCTGTACCCCAGTTCTGTATGCATGAATAAATAAAACTTTAAATAAATAAATCCTTTTAATTTAACTTCTGATTACTATGACCCTGGAAATATTACAGTCCTATACATACTGGTACAGATCTTTCTCCTGCTTTGGTTGTTTTAGGAATAAGCGGAAAATTATGAGGATATTCAGTGTGCCACCTACAGCAGAAACTTTGTCAGAGGCTAACTTTTATGACACAGTAAGCAAAATTCGTTTAAGACAGCAACTGGAAATGTATTCCATTTGTAAGTATATACATGACCATATACATGAGCATGTTAAAAAAAGTTTTTGAGAATTGAGTCCAGTTAGCAAAAGGTTACCAGAAATAATTGGCAGTGAAAACATAGTGCCTTTTTTTTTTTTTAATAATAGAATAGGGTTTTTTTTTTTTTTTACATCATTTTGTGCCCTTTTTTCTATCTCATTTGTAATCCATGTGGGCTTCCCATCACCAAATCACCCATGTGCCATCACCATAGTCCAGAGCACTGCCCCACCCCCATTCTTTATTCCATTCCCCACTCCACCCCTGTAAAATGTCTCTGGTATATAGTTGTTCATTATTATTATTATTATTATCTCCCCTGGTCCTTTATACTCCCGCTATGAATGAAATCATCTGGTATTTTTCCTTTTCTTTCTGGCTTATTTCATTATGGATGATCTTTTCCAGCTCCATCCATGTTGCTGCAAAAGGCATGGTTGGTTTTTTTTTTTTTGGTTGCTGAGTAATATTCCATTGTGTGTATGTACCA